ACACCCCGCCACACCCCGCCGTCCTCGGGGGAACCACCGCGCCAGCCGAGCCGCCCGAGCCCCGCCCTGCTGCAGGACGAGAAAGTCATAAATTGACATGGATGGTTTTAGGAGGTGCTGGGGCCCTCCTCCGCTCGGGCGGACGGTGGTGGTCAACTGGGCTGCGGGTCGGGAGGGGCGGGCGACTTGAACGTGTCCGTGGGTCCCGCGGGACTGTCTCTGCTGTGCGGTTATGCCCTGTTTGCACGCCAGCGGCGGACCCCGCTGCGCCGGCCCGGCCCGCCCCGGGACAATGGACGTTACATCAGGTCATATCGTTTATTTCCCCGCTGCCTACGGATGCGCTGGGGGCGCGCCGGGGCGCCGCGGCGGGGGACGGGACGGGCTGGGGGAGGGAGGGAATTACACGGCCAACGAGGAGATGGTGCAGTTTGCTGTCGTTTTAACCTCGGGCCGGACAATATGACGGCCCCTTCTGCTGCTCTGCGAAGGCCCCTTGCGGGCGCCGTATCGGAGGGTTGGCGGGGGTGTTGCGGGCCGTGGGAGCGCCTCCTCCCAGCCCGCCGCGGGTGTGGCGCGGCGCCCTGTCACGTCCCCGCGTCCTCCTGGCGGGAAACTTTGACCCCCAGGCCAGTTTGACGTGCATTTTATGGCGGCGGGCGACGTGCGCGTCGGGGCCTCGCGGCGCGCCCGGCGTCCCGGCCGTCCGTCATAGTGTGGGGCCCGGCGGCCCCGGGGCCGGGAGGAGGCAGGCCGGCCCCACCCCCTCGGCAGGGCCCCGGGGACAGGTCGCCAGTGTCCATATAATATAGATGTTTTGTTAGGAGCAAGTTCTCTTCACCAGCCAGTCCGGCCCCGGCCCCTGTTTCCTCTCCTTATCTCGCCGCACTCTCCCCAATACAAATATATCTTCCGGCCCCGGCCTGGTCGGTGTGCGTGGCGGGGCGGGGCGGGGTGGGCTGATAGGTCGTCCGGCGACGTGGCTGCGATATCCTGAGCGCCTGCGGGCCGCACGCGGAGCTGCCGAGGAGTAGGTGGAACATGTAGGGCAACCAGGCCTGCGAGGCGGGAGGAAGGAGGTGCGCAGAGCCCAAGTTGCCCCCCGCCCTCCTCCTCCCGGAGGAAACATGCCCCGAGTACGTAAAATTACACAGCCACAAACAAACACTGGTACAAACAAGTGTCTAATTTTGGACGTTATTCGATGTTTAAGTTCAAGAGTGCATTTTCTAGACACATTGTGGTCTCTAAGTAGGTTATACGTCAATTGGTTTGACCCTTCCGAAAATTATAGCAGCTGCACATCATATGGTTACTATTGATAGCATGGAACTGTGTGTGTCCAAGTGTGTAGAATTAAAAAGTTTACAAAACGTCTTCAATTTGCATACCACGCAAGTGTGCAACTTTAGTTAAACACCACGTAATGTGCATCACAACTTGCACACGTTGGTGTGCAAATTTTGCACACTTGTTTTACCAGTGAAGTGTACGCAGTTGTCAAGTCCTTATTCTTTATATGGTTTTAGTGTGTGAGAAGAAAGTGTTTGAGAGTTAAGTCAAAAGCCGACTTTAACAAAATTAGGTGAACAAGGCACTAAGTCGACGTTTTCACTATAAAATTTACTTTAAAAAAAAAATCAACTTAT